CAAGCCTGTATCCCATCACGGTGGATGATGCTTCAGCACCTCAAATCTCACACTCCCAAAAGCATTTAGGGGCTGCCCTTCCAGTAAAATACAAAGGGGAGCAATGCCAAAATACCCATCAAAGTCAGGGCTGGCACACACGTTTAAATACCATCAAAAAGGCACAGCTCTGGGAGCTGCCGGGAACCAGCGATGCAGTGGCTGGGACCCAGCAGCAGAAGATACATTTGGCTAGGCCAATATATGACACAAGATCCTGGTTTCTCTGGTTTTGTTTCAGTGTACATATGCATTTTTTCCTCTGTGTGCACCGTTTTGGGCTCCCCCAAGCATCCCCTAGTCTCAGCAGAGGAGGGAATACCAGGTTGCTGAAACAACCCCATTCATCTCATATCAGTTGTGAACATGCATCCCGTGTAGGTGCAGAGGATGGGGCTGAAAAGGGGGAAAAGAGGGCTCAATATTTCCATCCACAGCGTTATGGATTTCATTTTCTCTTGCAGCCAAACAAAGCATCGATTTATTGCAAATAGCCACTGGGCTGTGCTGATAGTGCACCAGATTTATTTTTTTTCAGGTACCTTCCAGTCGATGCTGCGTGTTACCTCAGCAAGGTGCTCCTGCAAAGGGCTGTGGCACGAGCCTTACCCCACGGCAAACGCCCGAGGAGGGCCAGCGTGGCCCAGGGGCAGGGAGGGAAAGCTGGGTGCAACTCATCTGTCCCAAAAAAAAACGTCCCACCTGTAAAATTTCTCCTTATCCAGTCCATCTGGCAGAACTGCCCTCAGACACTGCCTGCGAGGAGCAGTTCCGAAAGCCCCCGCAGCCCAGCGCTCCCCGAGCTGCCCGGGTCCCCGGGGACCCTGCGTTAGCCGCTGTCCCCGCCAGCCTCCCCGAGCAGAGACTCAAGTGCCATCTAGTGGCATGCGGGGCCCCGCGGGACAGACGGACGTCCCCCTTGCCCGGCTCACTGCCTCTGGGCATGATGCCTCCAAGCTGCTCTGCCCGCTTCTCCCACCACCCTACCCCCTCCTTTTCCCACTTCTGTGTAGCCTCCTTTCCCCATCTCCATGTGCCTTCTTTTTCCCATTGCCACATATTCCCCTTTTCCCATGCCCATATATCCTCCCTCTCCATCCCTCCAGGTCTGGGCCACCGCCACCTGAGACCATGACAGACTCCAAGAGCAGGGGACAGCAAAGCCTCCAAAGGACTCATCTGATTCCAAGCTCACAAAGCAGGGAGATGGATTTCCAATAGGACTATTGGCCTTGTTCAGACTCCTGAGTGTCTCTGTTGTCACCTGCACGCCCTGTCCCTCAGTGACATCCCCAAGGTGGGTCTCATTGCCTCCCTAGCACCAGGGCTGCAAAGAGAACCTGCAGTGGGGTGCTGTGGGCTCCACCAGCAGCTCCCCAAGGATAGCTTCGGTGGGACCTCATCAGTGGTAAGAGCCACGAGGGGGCTCCAGGAACCCATCTGAGCCGGAGGAGAGATGCCAGGAGCAGAGCTCGCATCTCCTGGAGGATGGAGGAGAGATGCCAGGAGCAGAGCTTGCATCTCCTGGAGGATGAGGTCTCCTGCAGCATTCAGGGTGGGGGAGAGCTGGAGAGATGTCACAGCTCTGTCGAGGAGCAGGATCTGCCATAACTTTTGTCCCTGTCACATCCATCATGCCAAGGAGCAGTGCACATGTTGCAATGTGCCCAACACAGGGCCTGTGGTGTGGGTTGTGCTGGCCTGGCCCAGGGGCAGCAGGGCCACAAGCTCTTGCAGGGCACTGGTGTTCACTGCATGACCATTTACACCAGCTGTGGATTCATCCCACAGTCTTACTCCTGCAGGTCCACATTTATTTGTCACAGCTGTTTTTTCCCTAACTCCACTGAGTGTAGGGGTGTTATTTTCAGGAGGTGAATTTGACCCCAGCATTAAAGAAATGCTTTGGATGACACTGCTGAGCTGGCTGCTTGGTGAGCATCGTGGACATGGAGAAGTAACTCCAGGAGTGACTTCTTCAAGTATGGGAGACACTGGTGAGAAAGCAGGTCCCAGTCTGTCAGCTGGTTTGTTGCAGTCTAGCTCCACTCTCCCATCAGCACCTGGGGAAGAAAAGACTCCTTGTTAAAGACTCAGCATGCCTTCTCCTGATACTGCATGGGGAGGCCTCAGATATAACATTTTTGCAAGTCCCCCAGTAAGGTGGTGACAAGACTCGACAGCCCTGGCATCACTGTGTTAGCTGGATGTTTTAGGTAAAGAGCAGGCAACAGGGTACATGAGACAATGTGACCCTCCCCCAGCACCCTGCCTGGCCAGCACCAGATCCCCATCTCAGTGACCTCTTTTTGCCTTTACTCTTGGTGGACACTTCACACAGCTGTGTGAGTGACCAGGCCTGGACCCTCCTCTCAGACAGCTGGGAATAACGCTGGAGAAGGCATTGCAGCCAGAGCGGATTCTCCACCACCTTCCCTTTCCAGGCCTCTGTCCGCCTCCCCGCTGGCAAACTCTGCAGCACGGGGTTTGTATTGCTACAGAGGCTGGGGACAGCCTGGAGTGCCAAGCCCACCCGGCTTCCCACAGCTCAGTGGGAAGAGCCCTGCACGGCATCCCATTCCCACAGCAGCAGTGGGGTGCAGAGTCCATCAGGGATGATCTCCTGTAACCAAGGGAGGCAATGCAATTACCTAGGCCAGCTAATTAAGTCTCCAATAGGAGTGGTTTGGAGACCTGAGCCACTTAGTAGAGGAATGGGACACTGCAGGTGGGATTTGGGGCAGGAGGGAATAGGGATGCGTGAGGCTGCCGATAGCTTTAGACAGTTGGGGACAGCAGAAATGAGGTTATGGCCATTCAGCCACTACCTCTCAACTTTCTTTAGGAGCCCACACTGTCTCAGGACAGATTCAGCCAGAAAACCCCTAATCCCTGAGCTGGTCAGCGTGAGCTTGTGGGGAGCTATGATTCTGCACAGCAAGGGGTTTGGGAGACTGGTGGGTGGGGACAGGCACTGTGGCAAGGAACCCCCCCCCCCAGGATATGGTAGCCTGGCAGGGAAATCAGCTCAGAGGGCTGCTGGTGGGATCTACAGTGACATGCGTTGGGCATCCTCTCCCGTCCTCCAGAGCCTACAGGGTCAGCATGGGTGCTTTAAGTCCCTGCTACACCCAGCAACATGGGCCAAAAACACGAGGAGCTTCTGTGGCCGTTTCACATGTCCCAGTCCAGCTTCCCTGTGTAAACACAGACTTTGACCCTCAGTGATCTGGCTTGAAAGAGGAAGCAAAGAAAACGTCGCATAAGAATTAAAGTTGTCCCTGAATTAGAGGAGCTGTTCCAAAAAGCTATAGAAGGCTGTCGTGATGGAAAAATGAAGTGTATGAAGGACCCACCCTGCAGAACAGGCAGGGAAAAAATAGATCACACTGTATTCAGGGCTCAGACAAGACCACACTTGCCTGCAAAAAATAAAGCCTTGCATTTGACACATTGTTTACATATTAATTAGTTTGATCAGCTTGCCTGGGTGTGTTAACATGAGTGAGAGCTCGTGGCTGTACAGTGATGAGCTGTTAAAACTTCCCAAATAGAGCTACGAATAATGGCAGAGTGAGATCTTCTCTTTGCCCAGAGCCTTTCTGCTATTTTTCTAGTGCTTTTCCACTCATATTTTTCTATTTTACTTGACTGAGTCCCCTAGGTACCATTTCTTCCCCAGCACAGAACCAGAGACCCACAGGAGCAAGAGAAGCGGCTTCTGCAGGGGAAGCCAAGGAACCGCCACCCACCAGAGCACAAAGATGAGAAATGGAAAAAAGAGGAAAACTCTATTTTCTCCATTCTGTCCCCTTCCCTCCCAGCCTCTCCGGGATTCCTGGAGGGGCAAAGCCAGTGCAGAGGCTGGAATTAGCATCGCCCCTTTAACAGCGGTGCCGCAGCCTGACATCAGCGAGCTGGGGAGTCCGGGGAGGGCTGGGAGCTGCTGCTCCAGGAGTGGTGCCAGCACATCCCCACCGCCCTGCCTCTTCCCCGGTCTTGTTTGTGTGCGCCTTCTAACGCGCCGCATATGTATCTGTGCCTGCCAGTGGATGTTTGCAGGGTTTACATTAACCAGCTCAAGCTGAAGTTGGTAAACAGCTATTAAAGTTTTGCTCTTCATGTCTCCACGGGTGTCATTTCTGGAGGAGGAAATCACTTGCATCCTTGGACAGGCTATTCCCTTGTTTGCAGCCCAGATAGATCTTCTTCCCGCCTAGCTCTGCAGACAAGAGGGGTTTGGGTTGCTTTGTGCCTGGTGCGGGGAGGGGAAATGAATCTCCTGTGGCGTAGTGGGGAGTGTTCATGGTTTTACCTGTTTCCTCGACAGGAGGGAGTCAGGCTCAAAACCTGTAATTTTACTGTTTAAAGTTCTTGCTCCCAAGCCGAGTCCGCATCTAAGGCTGCTCTTTTGCCCTGGGACAAAATGCTGAACCCAGCAATTCCTCAGCTTTGCAGGAGGCTGCAGACTGGGTCTTGACTGTTTTCTGACTATCACAGCTCAAAAGTTTCTTAGAAACCAGATTCCCATCCCAAACGCTGCACGGCACGGAGCAGAGAAGCCGAAAGCAAGTCCCGAGCACCGATCCCAGCTGCAGCACCACCACTAAAGCTATTTATCCCCGCACGGGTTTTTTTTTCACACGTTCTTCCCTTCTGTTTTTGCTGGAGCCTCCCGACCCTATTGAGAGGCAAATTTTAGCCATCTGGCAAAGCAGGCTGTAGGGGAAAAAAAAAAAAAAGAAAAAAAAAAAAAGAGGAGAGAAAACACAATGTGCATGGGCGCGCACAGACGCACACACACAGAACTCTGGAGATTAGGGAAGACAAAAACTTCACTGAATGCGGCGGCTTTTGCTGGAGCGCACGGGCAGCCCCGCGGCAGGAGAGGAGGGAGCGGCGGGGAGGCCAGTTCCAACGCGGGTTCCAACGCGGGCAGGTCTGCCGGCGAGCCTGTGGGGATGTGGGGAACGGTTGCAGGCAGGGGAAGGCGTGACCTGCATGGAAAATGCCAGACAACTCCAGACGCGCACACACATAGGCGCATACACGCTCACAAATCTCCGGACAGAGATAAGGCGGACGGCGGAGCGTTTGGAAGGAGGCAAAGCCTTCCTCTGCAAACCAACCAGCAATCCCCCACGCCAAACCCACCGGCGAACCCTCCCTGCAGCAAAATGAGGTGAGTACCTCCGCGACAGGCTGACCCCAGGGTCTCAGGGCACGGCCAGGCAAGGGGGCCATCCCACGGGGAAAGGGTTCCCTCTGATGACCGTGGCTTCGGTTTCCCCATCCGCGAGCGAACGAGGCGTTGCTCATGCCTCGGCTTCGTGCTGCAGCCCGGCTTGCGTGCCGGCATCCCGGCGGAGCCGAAGGGAGCCTCGGGTGACAGGCACGCAGCCCGGGCGTACCGCTCTGCCACGGTCCATGGGCGAAAGGTGCAAGCGAGGCTTCAGCTTTCTGTGCACGCTACGGTCATTTATCACTTTTACGTGAGGTTAAGACTTTCCTGGCATGGGAAAGAAGTTTGATGTTGTTTTGCCTCCCCTGTTTAAAGGGAAAGCAGAGTTGTACCAGCAAACGGCCCGTTCAAGTCGAGGAGGTGATGCCCATTTACACCAGCTGAGCATCCAGCCCCATGCATGTACTCTGACCAGAGGAGAAACAGATTTTCCCTTCATACATTTTTGTGGTTTCAGACAAGCTGTCACAAAAAGGCATGTCCAACCTCACTCTGCTTGAAAAAAAAAAATCGATCCAAATTTCTCAGCTCTCATTAACTTTGCTTTGTAATGAAGAGCTGGGAAAAGCGATGGCATTACACAAATGAGCCCCAGAAATCTACTGCCCTGGTTTTGAAAGAACACAGGCAGGTTAGAAACAATCCGCTTACATAGCTTCAATTTCCTCACCAGCATACCTAAATCAAGCCCTGATTTTGAAACCCAGTGTACGTGTACATGTGAGTAGTTCCAGTGCCTGTAATACACACCTACATGCCTGTGCCAGGCCTCCATACCTATTTTAGAAAGCGGAAATTTTTGTCTCTAATGGCTCTAATTTCCTGCATGTTTCTTTTCCTTTGTGCGCTCCACTGGGTGTAAAGACCCTGAGGTCTGCTCCTCTTTCTGGGTCTCATGCAATGGCGCAGGTTTTTGTGTTTGCACCCCCAGCACAGGCAACGTTCTCCCCTTGCACAGAGAAATACTCGGTTCATGCTCATGTTCATGCTCAGATGGAGCTCAAAGCTGGTGCAAGGTCAGCTGGGCTGCCACTGATTTACCTGGCCTCGCTGCCCTTCGCTGGGACAAACAAGTTGGTAATGAGTTGGGATGAACTCCTTAGGCTGAGGTTTTTTAAAAGCTGAGTTTGATGACAAAAGTTCTTTAAGCATCTCAACCTCTGTGCGCTTCTCCATCTGGGGTGAGGGGTCCCCTAAGAATTGAAGAGGAAAAGAAGAAAGGAGAAGAAAGGAAAATGAAACAAAAAGGGAAAAGGGAAAAGGGAAAAGGAGGGAAGGGAAGGGAAGGGAAGGGAAGGGAAGGGACCAGAAAATAGTGAAGAGTAACATGCCGGGTTACACTGCTGGGGCCCCAGTCCATCTTTGCCCAGCTGCAAAATTGTGTGCTGTTTATTGAGAGTCAATGATCCCAATTTGGCAGGATAAGCCTAAGCAGTAATAATAATAATGATATTTAGCAGTTATTGCCATGATGCTTTCATTAAACCAATTTAGAAAGCGTCATTATTTTATTAAGCATCCTTATGTTTATTCTTCCATTAAATGAAGACTTGCCCATCAGAGCCCCATTAGTTAAAGGATGTGTTGCCAGCAGCCGCTGCTCTCAGAAGCATGAGAAACACCGAGCTCCTGACAGCACCCAGAGCTGGCTGGGAGCTGCGGAGTTGCCTTTGCACGGCGCATGGTGCCTGCCTCACCCACCCTTCGAAGGGCCTTTCCCCTCTTGGGAGCCACAATGCAGCTCCCACCCTTGCCTCCACCTCCCCGTGGCTTGGCAGGGGGTTTGCTCATGGTGACGCGGTGCTACACCTCCTCTCCTCTGTTTCGAGTGTGTGACCTTATACAACCCACCTAGGAAAGGAGACTGAGACCTCAACAGGTTTGGGCATTGCCAGAGTTTCATTTCATCTCCCCACACGTGTTTTCCAGGTACCTCCTGACCTGGTCCTTTTGTGCCTTGCTGCTCTGCGCGGTGGATGCCATCGAGCTGACGGACATGTTTGGGGAGATCCAGTCTCCCAACTTCCCTGATTCCTATCCCAGTGACTCGGAAGTGACATGGAACATCTCTGTGCCCGACGGATTTAAAATCAAGCTGTACTTCATGCATTTTGACTTGGAGTCCTCCTACCTCTGCGAATATGACTACGTGAAGGTGAGCTGTGGTATCACGGGGCAGATGGTGGGGTAGACAGCAGACCTGTTTGGCCAGCTGAGAGAGGGTAGCACTGGAAAAGCTGGGAACAAGCTGGTTTTCCCCATTTATTGGGTACAGGAGTTGTCAGTCCAGCGGACAACAGGGAGAGCACAGGTGAGCTGACCAACATCCATTGGGCTAACAGTGAGTGGGACACCAGATTCAGAGCTTACCCACAGAGGACCAGATTCCTCAAAGTATTTGGGCACCTAATTCTCATGGGACCCAATGGGATTTACACACCTACAGGCTGATGAAACCCCTGTGCCACTCTGATGCCAGCCACATGCAAGGAGGACCCCTGAGTTGGGCACCCTTTGCCAGGCCATGGCCATGGGCGCACCTTGTAGCCAGCCTGGATCCCTGGCTGTGACTTGCAGGCTCTTGGGACACCTTGTCCAGCCCCTGAGGAAGCAAAAGGGAGAGGTTAGACCTAAGCTTGAGGCTACAAGTTGGGGTCTGCAAGCAGACCCTCCCACAAGCCGCGGGGCACAGACCCAAAGGCTCCCTTGGGTTCAATGCAAACCCATTTCACAGCTGAGATACAAATTTCGGGGCCGCTGCTGGCAAATACCTGCAGCACAAACAAGCTATGGCAGTTCCCAGAGAGCTGTCATAGCCAAAACCACAGAAGATTTCAGTCTGCTTCATTGCTGGGCAATAACCCATCAGAAACTGCGTCAGGCCACACACTGAGTGCCACAGAGGTCCTTGCCTCTTGCACCACAGGTCTCTCCAAGCAGGCTCTCCTTCGCATCTAGGACAAGCTGAATTCTCCATATCTTTGAACTTGGTTAGGTTTGATGCTTTCTAGCAGACCAGCAGTAGCAAGCAGGTGCTTTCTAGGTTTGCCTGGCTGAACATGCCTCACCCCATCGCCTGGCACAAGCCTCACCGTGCCCCTTCCTCCACGCAGAGGCAGGTGGAGGTTGCACCCAAGTCTGGAACCGCAGAACTCAGCCCTGGTGCTAGTTGCCAGCTAACTGAAATTACTATTTTATTCTTGCCTTAAGAAAACAAAACAAACATTTTCCTCTATGATCTGTTGTTCACTGCTTCAATTTCCCCTTTGTGCTGGCACTCATTCTGCTACTAACAGCTCTCATTGAGGTTTGATTAGCTCTTTCTGCTTCTCCTGGATCTTCTCCAAGCACAAGGGCCAGGGACATATATAGAGATATATTGCTTTAAAAACCCAATAAGCTCAAGGAGCAGATTTCTTGGAAACTTTCCCCATTCCAGGCTTTAGCCCTCCTCCCACCCTTCACCCCCTGTTCATTTTTCCTTTTTCATAAGGCTCCCTGTTATTTGGCCATGGTGCCAACTTGGCACCGTAGCTCTCCCTGCCTCTGGATTTCCATAAGAAGGCGGTATTTTTCACAGGGATTTAGATCTGTGCTGTATAAATTTGCTCGGGGCTGTAACTCAGCTTGCGGAGCCTCCACCACAGAATTACATTTGAAAAGCGCTGAAAAGGGTGGATTACGGGAGATCCGTCGGCTGCTCTGCTGGGTAGGGGTGCAATCTTGATGCTGCTAAACCACCAGCTTAGCAAACATTAAGGAGAGCAGCAAATGACCACATGGGTATTTTCCTCCTTGGGTCTGTGTGCCCAGCCTCTGCCTGCATCAGCGCAAGACGTAAAAACAGCATCAGCCCTCTCTTTGGCAGAGGCCAACAGTGTATGGCTAAAGAATATGATTATAGACTCAACACATATAGGGGCTTCGCTGTAATACTCTGCCAGTCCCAGTGAAGATGCTCAGAAAGCCATGGGTGGTGTCTCTGCCTTCAGCAGCGCTCAGTGGATTCCCCCTCCATGAACTTGTACCGTGGCTTTCGGAACTCATGGGGGACTTTCATCTCTGCGGCCTCCTGTGGCAGAGAGTTGCACAGGTTAAATATAAGATTGTACACCTGTGTGTTTGTGTGTGAACAAACACCTTCTTGTTTGTTCTGGCCATGGGTCTGACTGGGCTCTCCATCAGGGTCTTCATCATCTTGACTGCCATAAGGAGGAGGCCAAAATGGGGGCTGAAGAGCCCTGATGCAAGGTGGGGACCCAGCCCAGGACAGGCAGAAAGCTGCCGTGCCCTGGCCTCTGCTTTCCTTACCTCCTTGGCTGCCCACGCGCCTGAGCTCTCGAGCAGTGTAAAGAGTGACCTGAGTGACAAGCTCAGGGCAAGCCAAGCTGCAAACCCACACAGAGCTCTGCCTTCGGGGTGGTCTTCAGAAGGGAACAGTTTCCAGAGCTCTGAAACAATGGCTAATTAAAACAATAGCTGTTTATTTATATATATACACATATATGTGTGTGTGTGTGTATATATATATATAAAAAGAACATGGCTCCTAAAGAAATGCTAACAGCCCAGGAGGTTTGTTTGTGCAAATGGGGATGGCAGAGAGGAGGAGTGGTACTCCACTAAGGAAGTGAGACAGGAGGAACGGGAGGGACAGCCACCCCCAAAACACTCATCTGAAGAAGCCCCATGCAGGTAGGAGACCCCAGCCGCAGGCTGCCTCGGGAAGCCAAGCTCCGGGCCCCGACGTGTTGGAGACAGCCTCTCCCTGGGTTTTGGATGGCTGCCCTCAGCCGCCTGCCAGGTCCAGGGGGACAGGGAAGGAGCAGCCATCCATGCCACGCTTTTGGCTCCTGCCCTCTGCCACGCTCCTTGGCTGGCCCTGCCTGGCTCATCGCTGTGCCCTGGGAGCTGACTTGGGCGTTCCTCATTGGGGGGGGGGTTTCACCGTGATTTGCCCGGCTCCTTTCTGGGGTCACCCAGCACTGAGCGCTTTTGCACACAAATCTCCAGCACTGGCCTGGGGCACCCTGAAAGCCATGGGCATGACCAGGAAATCAGGTTAAGTGATGTGACTAGTGTCACCGAGGAGTGCTGTGGCAGAGGCAGGGAGACGGGAGATGAAATCCCAGTGGAGGGCCAGGGATGGGAGATGAAATCCAGACTTCTGAGGGGCCTTCACAAGTAAATCCCCAGGCTTATTAGGGAGATCTGAGCCCAGGGTCCTGTCCATGAGGTTTTGCACATCACTTGGTCAAGCCCTGGAATGAAATCAGCCCCTGAGGGCTTGGCAGCCAGCTTGGCATCAGCTTCTTGACTGAAGTGAAGATGGGGCCTGTGATGAGAGGATTTCACCCCAGTCAGTCTGTAGCAAGTCCTTGCTGGCTCACGGTCCTCGTGGGGTTACATCTCTTCACCCCAGTCCCTCCCACTGACTCCTGATTCGGGATGGCACATCCCTGAGATCTGGCAGGTTTCAGCACATGCCACAGGGGTTTCCCTCCACTCCTTCAAGCCCAGAGGCTGTCTGTGATGGGTCTCCCCAACTGTGCATGGGGGCAGGAGGGCAGAGGGGTGCATGACACTTTGTGGGTCCGGTGGGTCCCATCTCCCGTGACACAACCCAAGTCTCCCTTGGATGCACCTCTTCATGTTGTGTTCAGACTTCTGCCCACTGGTGGCACTTGGGACACCTTTCTGCAGCTGCTATTCACACCCATGTCCCCAGGGAGGGTCTATGCCATCGGGTACTCACCCAGGCAGGACTCCTACTAACCCCATGTGTGGGTGCCCAGGAGCTGGCCAGGCATCTCAGGCAAAACCAGTGGCTGCAAATAAATTTGCTCAAGGGTGGCCGGGGGCCCAACCGATCAATCTCAGGAGGCAGGCAGTCTTTGCCGGCCCTGGTGGGGGGCTGGTGAGGGCAAAACAGGGGTACGGGCCAAGCTGAGGAGGCAGGGCTGCAGGCAGAGCATCAGCTAGTGCCACTGCCCCGGGAAGCAGGGCGTGGGGAGGGGGATTATGAAAGACTTGAGATGTGGCAGAGCCGCATCCCCCTGAGGTTTGGCATGATGTTTATGGTGCATAGCAGATCACCTTTGTATGCGGCGTCCTGTGCTCGCAGCATGCCATCCCCTGCCGTGGGTGATTGGCGTGGGGCAGGGCTGCGTGCCACCAGGGACACCCTCGGTGGTCAACCCGGTGCTGGCAGGGGCCATGCAGGGCCAGGGAAGGAGCTCGGTGCTGTGTTCAGGGCAGTGCATACCCAGCCTGGGGCTGTGAGAAGGGTACACAGGACCCATTTACACCTTCCTCTGCTCAAAGAGGGGGAGAAAAAGCACAAATCATGGCTTGGCATGAACTGGAGGGGTCAGGAGAAGAGCATCCTCTCTTGGTACTGTCAGCTGGCCTCAGCCAGGGGGTAATCCATGCCCTGGGGTGTGGGGTCCCAAGAGGAGCACTTCAAATCCGAGGAAGCAGCTGGGAGGAGGCAAGGGCCCAGGGCTTTGCTGCTCACCTTTCCCATCCCGTTGGTTCCGCACAGAGGAATCTGGTGGCATCAGCCACCCCCAGCACCGCTGAGGACCACAGGCACCCCTCATGCAGGGGAAGGGGAAGGATCAGGCATGGGATCAGGCCAGCAGCTCCATCAGCACCCCAGCATCCCGCCTGGGCTCTCCTTGCACCCCCAGCTCCCCCAGGGAAAAGGCCTGTCTCAGAAATGGGCATGTGGGCACAGCAACCCACAGGAAGGGACAGTCTCCAGGCACCAAACCAAGCCCACAGCAGGGGGAAACCAGCCATCCTCTTTCTCCCACCATATGGCTGCTGTGTATGTTCCCATGGAAATTCAGGTGCATGTTTGCACATAAAAGAACCCTTTATATATATTGGGGAGAGGACGCATGCATGTTGGGGAGAGGATCTCCAGGAGATCTAGATGGAGGCTTCTGCTGGGGCTGTCCCATCCCTGTCTCATTTCTAACAGTCATCAGCAGCAGCAATATCAGTCATTTTGCAAAAAAACCCCATTCATCTGAGTTTTGCCTTCTTGCATGCGCTCTTAGCTGCAAGGGGCTGTTGCATGCCCTTCCCTGTCTCTGAGGATCTCCTCCCCATGTCATGTTCCCAGTGTCTTCAGCCCAGCGCTGCAATTTCTCTGCCTAATGAGCCATTTATATATATTACAAGTGGTATGTTTGGCCTTCATCAGTCCAATTAGTGCATTCCTGAAGGGCTGGAGAGGGGGGGGTGGCGGCTGCATTTCCGTATTGCCGGCTGCCTGCTCCTCTCCGGCGGCAGACACTGAACCGCCAGGCCAAATTCCCCTTGGTGTTTGTGGCGTTTCATTAACCCACCCTCTGCAGGAGGCATCTCCAGAGCATCCCTGCTCCGAGATCACCAGCAGCCCATGCCCTGGGGCAGCATTTTTTTGCTGCTGAGCCAGGGCACCCCAGCTCCCACCTCCTGCTCCGAAGGGGAAAATCAATATGGCACAGAGGCGGGCTGCGTGGCTTGGGTCACCACTTCTCTTAGCCGCAGCCCAAACCAAAATGCAGGGGGACAGAGCCACAGGCAGGGGAGGGACCCCCATCTGCCATCATCCAGAGGGGCAGAAATCTTAACGAGGGAATGAGGAAGCAAGCAGAAACAGGAAAGACAGCAGGAGGCGGTGGCGAGGGTAAATTTAAGGCACGAGAGTGTCGCTGTATTTTATTTTTCAAAGGAGGATTCTTTCAGCGTATTTTTATAGGGAATTTCTCTGCAGCAATTGATATTTCCCTCAGGGACACATCTTCTCTAGTGAAAACGTCGACATCATGACCCGAGAGGGAGAAACTCCAAACAAACAACCAGGATTTAATTACCAGCCTGCTCGCTGGATGTAAATGATCTATGAAAAAGTATACAGTCCTCAGCAGAAGCAGCAAATATTAACCAGGGATTATGACCTCTCTGTTTAGTTTACTGCTGGAGGGCTGTCTCTGCTCCCTGTGGCCCGGGGCATGGGACCCGTCACAGATAAGGGGCTGTGGATACCTTCAGCGAGGAGAGCACAGCTCTCCCGGGCCTCATCCTGACGCTCCAGGGCTGTATCCAGGGATGCTGAGGCAGTGTTGGGGCTGGCCCCATGGCGGGAGCATCCTCGGGCCACAACAAGGGGCACCAGGGAGGTTTTCCCATGCTTCGGTGATGCTGTGCTGCAGGTCCTGCACCGGCTGGGGCTGGAGGAGAGGGACAGGAGCTCACATGGTGGCTTGTGTGTCCCTGCAGAGGTGGCAGCCACTAGCCCCACACAGAGGACCTGGCTGGAAACCACTCCTTCCCACAGCTTTCCTTGAGAAAAAGCCGCTTCTGCAGAAAAGGCTGTGTGCCGCGCACTTGTGCAGCCAAGACAGCGTGGCGGGGCCGAAATGCCGTTTTCCTTCGCTTTTGGTGATGGTGCTCCCGTTTTCCAGTCTGAAACACTACTGCATTTCAAAACAATCTTTCTTTCAGATTTAAAAGAGGTTCTAAAGCACCACAGTATATTTCAAAGGGATTGAAACCAGATGGATCCCAAATTACTTGTTTTCCTTTTTTTTTTTTCAGAACGCTGTTTCACAAAAAAAAAATTCAATTGGGTTTTTGTGCCAATGCGGGGCGCGTGTTTTTTCTCCAAATTCTCAAAATTTATCATCGGAAAGTCTCTCTTTTTTCTGGCTAGCTCCAGCTTGTATGAGAGGATGGAAAATATCTGGAGGCAATGTCAAGGCACGCTGAGTTGCCATTTCCACATTGGCTTTCCCTGGTGTGAGCAAGTTTCCGCCTGCTTGTTCAGCCCTGGGAAGTTTCCCTTTCAGCCCCAGACCCTCCCCAGCCAGCACATCCCAAGGGTCTCCAGGAGACGGGGATGCAGCTGGAGCAGAGTCTTGCCTGGCCAAGGCCACGCAAGCTGGGGACGGCGTTGCAGCACCTCCGGGACCCCACAGGTCCCCGAGCAGGCGGCCGTTTTCCCCGGGCATGGGCTGGGGGCTGCACTGCACTCTTCATCACAGCCTCAATAGCGTTGGCTTGGCATAAACGGTGGGAGCTGGCAGTGGTGGTGTTCATTGCATTCCTCAGCCGAGCAGTTATTCATATTCAAATCTCCTGGAGGAAAGCAAGCAGGGTGCTGGGAACGAGCTGGGAGAGGCTGTGGTCGAGACAGGGGCTGGGGGTGGGATTTGCAGGAGAAGGAGATGGGGTCAATGCTGAAGTGGTCCTGGGGAAAACAGCGAGGAAAAAGGAAGGGAGGGGGTTCCGAGGGAAAACCGTAGGGGTTTCTGCAGGTATTACAGTGCTTGAAGGCATGGGCATGGCTGTGCTTTCAAGGGATGCATGCAGAGGCTAGGGAGCATGCTGACGTGAGAACAGGGCATGCTGGCCCATTGGTCCCCTCCTGTAGCCCTCTGGGTGTGTGGCTCCAAGTCCAAACAGTACCTGATACTGCAGGCCTGGAGCCAGACAGAGACCCTGGGTGGCAGGGACAGGACCGAGCTTGTCCAAGCCAGCCCAGGGGACAGAAACGCCATCCAAATTACAGCTGCTGCTTTGAGCTGATGCAAAAGTGATGGGCAGGGGCTCCTCTGGAGTCCCAGCGCTCTCCCAGCAGCACAGCCCTCACACAGATGCTGCTGCCCAGATCAGCATTTGGGCTGAGGGAGGAGGCAGGGGAGAGCATCTCAGGTAGCAACAGCTTTGAGTGGGAACAACACAGCCCTGGGCCGATTTTCACACCCCTTCTTTCACACCCCAAGACCCTCTCAGCCCTGCCGAGAGGGACTTGGGGGTGCTGGTGGATGAAAAGCTGGACATGAGCCGGCAATGTGCACTGGCAGCCCAGAAAGCCAACCGTACTCTGGGCTGCATCAAAAGAAGCATGGCCAGCAGGTCGAGGGAGGTGATTCTGCCCCTCTACTCTGCTCTGGTGAGACCTCACCTCGAGTACTGCGTCCAGCTCTGGAGCCCTCAGCACAAGAAGGACATGGAAGTGTTGGAGCGGGTCCAGAAGAGGGCTACTA